CCCCCCCCCCTCCCCCCCCTTCCCCACCGCTCCATTCTGTTGCAACGTTGAAGCCATAGCTGGAAGGGCTTTCGCCTCTCTTGCAGCACGGGGTTGAATCGTTCCCTCTCTCGATTCCCAGCGATAGTCGATTCTGTCCACTTTCCTCTCTTGCATAAATCGGGAACCGTAACCCTAACCCTAACCACAGGAAATAGAAAAAAACAGAGCGTTGCATTCGTCAGCGGCACCACCCTTCCTTGACAACCTCGTGCCTGAGTCGCTGCCGATCATCGCTTGCGCCACCTAAGACCCCAATCTTCTTGTCAGCTCTTCCCTGCGATCCCCCCCCCCCCAAGTAGGAAGGGAAGATTGGCCGTCGGCGATGATCGGTCCTGTTGGAACAATGCTCCGTCCTCTCGAGGACGCGTGGTCAACGGTCCACCAACTAAGATATGCAACAAACATTAGTAGCTCCCACCCCCCCCCTCCCCGCTGCTGCAAGCAGATTCTGCAGGGAATCCGAGACGTTATCGTGCTCAGCTCCTCTGGCCCGGACACCCCGTTGCCTTTCGGCCACTTCGAGGCACCGCTCAAGGGCGGGGCAGCGGCGGCTCACCCACCTCGCAAAGGGTTCTTCAGGTCCCTGTTTGGCCCCAAGCGAGGGTCGTTCAGCGGGAGGAGGCGCACGGTCTTGCTGCCGGACATACCCCTGACGCTGGTTAAGAAAATGAAGGTATCGCCGTTGGGGGCGGGGGGGGGGGCTTCCTGTGTATTTTTCATCAGTTGTAATCGGCGCTCACAGCGTTTCTGTCGGGCAGGAGCTACAGCCCGTGGGGAGGTGGGATATACTACACCCGAGTTTTTTTTTTCGTGATGTAGTGTTTTTGTCCTGTTGCCCTCGAATGCAAGAAAAACGTTGGGATGGTGCTCGTGGGTCCTCGGTTGCTACAGTAGGCTGTCATGGTGGATACCAGCATGGGGGAAGGAGATGGTGGTGCGGAGGACCTCAAGGGATGGGCGAGCTGCTTGTACCGGCCTTAAGTACCCGTTGTGTGCGGGTTTTCTCAGGCAGGGGTTGGACGACAGGGTCCTGCTTCTCAAGTATGCACACAAGGAGACGACTATTTCCCACCAATTTGTGTTGCTGCTGCATCGTCTGTTTCTCCCGTAACACCAGCAGGGTTGCCCTGTTGTGTGGGCGTGTGCCTTCAATACCTCCCTCTTCGCCTCCGTTCGTGATTGCTTGCCTCTGCCCTTACGTGTGGGACCTCGTGTATGTGCATGTGCCCACCACGCCACCTATCTTTGCCGATGCGGCAACGACGATCAATGAATGTCAGGACGTTTCCGGCACCACCGTGAACGACGTCGTCATGACCCTTATCGGGGGGTGCATCCGGCGCTATTCCCTGGCCAATGGCGATGCTGCAGGCAACTCCATTGGCGGGTGAGAGGCCACACTTATACACACAGGGTCCGTCTCATGCATACCCCGAAACCACAAATTTAAGAGGTGGTGCAGTATAATTGTTTATGGAACACACCTATTACTCACCCACCCTTTGGTGTTCGGTCACCGTAAACGAGTACCTCGTTCGACATCTACACTGGACGCTCTTGTTTGCCTTCGTGTGTATTGCCATCTACGGAAATTTCTTTAGTCCGGGATGGAGCTTCTTTCCAGTGGAAATGCTGTTCGAGGCGCTCCAACAGTTTTGGATGCGAAACGAATGGCTTCGCCGACAGGGCAAAAGTTACTGTTATTGTTCATTCCGCCACGGCGGTAGTTCACCTCTTTTGAGACCTCGACGAACAAACGAGCTGCCCCTCAACAGCAGCTATTCAACAAGTATGGTACCGCCCGGTTTATCAATGAAGGTAGAATACGGCTCGGATAATTGTGAACATACCAACGGTGTCTATTTTTCCGAGCCGATTAAATGTGCCATGCCCTTGCGATCCCCTGCCCCCCTGCGATAACACCGGAGGTCCCCTGGTCGTCTACATGGGTGGTCTTCGTTATATTATATTTTCCTTTCCTCCGTTGCGTCTAGTTCTCCCCCCGGGACCTGCCAAGCTTGTTCTTTTGACACGAGGACCGATGTAACACACGTGTCTTTTACCAGCTTCTGCTTGTGCCGTTTTGCAGGCCAAGGCCCGCCAACTTACCTTCTTGGAGACGGGGACTTGAAACACGTACAGCAGCAGTTCCCGCTAGTGCCGTCCACTTACCGCAGTAAATTATTTTGCCTTGCCGCGTCCCATTGTCCCGTTGCCGCCGGCTTCCGGGGGAAGCGCAGGCCGGGGTTTCGATCTAGGGCGTTGATTCCGGTAGCCCTACCTAGGTCCTCTTCCCCCCCCTCGGGAGCCATCCTCTGCAACAAATGGGTGAGGTTGGTTGTTTTGGTAGCTTAATTCCTCCAACGTAATCCAAGAGACTGCCAATAACGCCGTTGCCGAAGTGGGTTACTTGTGGTTGTAAGCAAGTAGTCAATCGAGAGAGAGAGAGGGGGGGGGGGG